CTGCCGTCGGCGAGTGCCCTCGAGGCCGAACAGAAGGGCAGCCCTGCGAGAGACCCCGGCTGTGAAAGGCGGGCCTCCTCCTCCTCCTCCTCCTCCTCCTCCTCCTCCTTCTCTTCCTCCTCCTCGTCCTCCTCCTCTTCCTTCTCTTCCTCCTCCTCCTACTCCTCCTCGGCTCCCCGCCGGCACGGCGGCTCCTGGTGGGCGCCGTGCCGTCTCTCTGGGGGGGCGCCTCGGCGTCCGTGGTGGTATGCCTTCGGCGCAAGCCGGAGCTTGGCCGGTGTCCAGGAGGGGCAAGCTGGTCATGACAGTGATGCATTCCAAGACTCAGGAGGGGGAAAACACACACAGACACGATGAATCGTCGATTCCCCAGAAAATCAGGGAAACTATGGGAAGTGGGGGAAAGACAAAAACCCAGAAAATATGGGAAACTGTGGGGAATCGTTTTATTTGTGTATTTATTTGTGTGTCCTGGGGCCCTTTTAAAGACTTCAAGGTTTCCTGGATTTCCGAGACCTCCACATTTTTCACGCGGGCTCCAGAAAGGGGGGCCGCTAGATACGTTGGAAATCCTGGAACGTATCTTGAGCCAATCCGATCATGACATCGTCCTCGTCCAAAGTGTATGTGTGCGTGCCAGACCACACAGCATTTTTGCGATGCACCAGTTTCTGGAGTTGGGGTGTAGCATCAGGGCGTGCCGCTGCAGCCGCTGTTGCGGCCCATGGCGCGCAGAATGCAATTTGCAGTCCAGCGCAGCCGCTGGGAATAGAGATTTGCCGAATTGGCCAAGCGTTCCAGGGAGCTCATTCAGCAACTGCTGGTGGCCACTCAGCTTGTGGCAGGTTCTGAACTGCGCCTCCAGGAGTTTCCATGTCTCGGTTACTGGATACACGGACAGTCGCTTCGATTGATCGAACGCACTATTTTGTGCATTCATGTTGGGGTTGGTTGCGGGCCCCGCGTCGTCGTGTCCAGAATTTGTAACACTGGAGATGTGTTGATTGGACTTGTTCATTGCCAGGGTCTCTACCATTTCTCCTATGATTTTTTCACTGGTCGGGTTCTCACCTTACCCACGGTAGACATGGAATGTATACCTTCTAGAGTTGGTAGCGACAGTATTTGTTCTTGCGTAGTTCGCTTCGCATCTTCTGTTTCTTCCTTCGTCGATTTGCCCGTTTGCACATGAATTTCTGTTTTCCCTCTGTACTTTCTATCCCGTCTTCGGACATGCTGAGGCGTATTCATGCGTTGATGATTGGATTGGCTGGCACAACATGTCATGTTCTCCAGTGCGTTTCAGATGATCACGTCACGCGTTCCCCGAAATGGTTTCGTTTGACATACTGCCCAGCTCGAACGGGATCGGGATGTCAAGCAGTTGACAGTCATTCTGCATTGTTTGCGATTGCATTGGGCGGCGATCTAGAAGTTGAACCTAACCATCGGGATGACATGTGACGGTCTGTCGATGCGGTGGCTAGTAAACGATCGCGAGAAGACACCGCGCTCACACTTTCTTCAAGTCCGCTGAAGACGGGGTTGTCGGTTCACCTGGTCTGATCGACCGTTTTTCTCGCAGGTCGACGGGTGGACGAGATCTTCCTCTCAGTCTAACCGCGCAGTTTGGCGGAAGTCGCCAGAGAGTCTAGGGACGATCGATCGTTGCTTTGCTGCGGCGCCGCAGATGCGGCGTGCTGACAGGCAACTTTTCTGCTTTCGGGTGCCCTGATCTCGGCTCGCCCGATCTGCTCGCAGCACGAGTGACCCTGCCCTCGTTGCCCCTGAGAAGGGGGGGGCGCGAGCCGCGCAGAGGCACGCGAGGCGCGCATCGCGGAGAAGGACGCGCAGGCGCCCACAGTTTCGCTCCTGGCGCCCATCTGCTCCCAGCAGCTTCTGAGATACTGCTTGGAGCCCCTCGATGCCCCTCCAGGCGAGCCCCTTCGGGCTCGTCGGTGCCCCTCCGGGCCCCTGCCGGGCCCCTCCCAGGCCCTCTGGGCCACTTCGGGCCGCTTCGGTTCCAACCGGTCCGGTTTGGTCGTTTGGGCCAGTTTCGGCCTACGGTCAAAAACCCTAATAAGGACGCGCAACTTTGCTCAGGGTACCCTCGCGTCCTTGCTCTGCCTTGCTCTTGCGTCCTTGAGGTTTTCGTCGTCCGCCGCCCCAAAAATCCCAGCTTCGGCTTCCAAGGGTCTTGCGTCCTGCCCGCGCGTCCTTATTAGGGTTTTTGACTGTACCCGTTCGGTTCGAAGTGACCGTTCCAGTTCCGATTGCTTCGGGTAGGGCTCCACTTCGGTCAGTTCGGTCGCAGAAGGCGCCGGTTTATGGCTACCCGTCGGTTCAGAGCTACCATGCATCTCATCGTCTGTCTCGCGGGGGTGCTCAAAAGTTTCATTTTTGTTTAGCAAGGCCGCGGGGCTGCACTGACCCCGTCTCGATCACGTAGCCATCCCCAATCGCTTGGACCCTCTCCAGCCCAGAGGTGCAGTAATTGATAGCCGGTCTCAGATTTGCCAGTCACTCGACCAGGACAGTGAAAGTTTTGTCTTAACCCGCTGGTGTAGGGTCCTCTTTCTGCATCCGCAGCCTACCAGTTTCCTTCCCCCTCCCTCTCTTCCTCTCCTGTGCCCCTGTCACCACCTCCATCATCACAACCCCTCACGCGCTTCGTGGCCACTCAGAACGCCCCACCGCGGGCTCCCGTGGCGGGGCCCGCATGGCGTCCCCCCGTCGCCCAAAGCGGCCCATCCCTCGCAGGGAGGGAGGAGGGAGGAGGGAGGAGGGAGGAGGGAGGAGGAGGAGGAGGAGGAGGAGGAGGGAGGGAGGAGGGAGGAGGGAGGAGGGAGGAGGGAGGAGGGAGGAGGGGAGGAGGGAGGAGGGAGGAGGAGGGAGGAGGGAGGAGGAGGAGGAGGAGGAGGAGGGGGAGGAGGAGGAGGAGGAGGAGGAGGAGGAGGAGGAGGGAGGAGGGAGGAGGCGTGACCCCACAAAAGGGGTAGCTCCACCGCAGGCCCAGCGGCGGGGCCCGCCTGCCGCTGCGCCGCCCCCTTCGGCGCGCCCCCCTCTCGCGCACTTCGGTGCCCCCCCCCCCGCCCGCGCCACATCCTCCCGGAGGTGCCGCGGGCCGTCCCCCCGCCCCCCCCCGACGACGACCCGCCCCCAGCAACTCGGGGGTTGATAGATCTCCCGAGGAGCGTCTCTAGACCACCTACGCCCAGAGGCCTGGTGGGATTTTCCGAGGGGGTTGCAGTCCAGATCCCTCCCCAGAGTCGACCACGCGGTCGACGTCTGGGCCGGCGGCCGCCTCGCGCGAGCGCCTGACGGCCCCGACCCCGCTCGGCGTCCCAGGGATGGCGGGCGGCCACGGGGCCGCCGGCCGCACGGGGCGTGAAAGCGACCACAGCCACTGCTTTTCTTTTGTTGCCGCCCTCCAGCCAGCAGAAACACAGCAGTGGCTGTGGTCATTTCCCTTAGGCTTGGCACCAGGGAAATGGCCACAACCACTGCTTCTTTTTCGGCCGGCCGGAAGGCGGCGCAAGCAAGAGGCAGTGGCTGTGGTCACTTTCCCGTCCCGCAGCGTCGATTAGCGAATTTTGGCCGTTTTCGGGCCGCGAGAGGGCGTCGCGGCCGTTTTTTTTGTTTGCGGGTCCAGGTCCGTCGGTTTCGTTCCTGGACCGTTTTCGCTGAAAAGGGTGGTTGGGTAAAGGGAGTCTCGTCCACCGCCGAGAAACGGTGACGCCCGGGAGCCGCATGCAGGCGCGCGGTGGTCTTGAAGGCTGTGTTGGCGCTCATGCGATCCTCCCACCCAGGCTCCCACCAGTCGGCGTCACCCCAATCTGCTACTGCTCTGTGTTCGTCGCCCCCCCCAGGGGCGACGCACGCGCTGAGAACCCGTGCAGCAGATGCTCGGTGGCGGGCGCTGCCTGGCCACACCGTCCGGGAACTGCTATGCTACAAGATGGCTGCACTGCATGTTCGGGCCGGCCGCGCACCTCCCAGGAGGACACAGAGTACGAATGGGACGGGGGACATGGATGAGGGGATGGGGGACATGGATGGGGAGGATGGGGAGGATGGGGAGGGGGAGGAGGAGGAGGAGCAAGAGGAGGAGAAGTAGGAGGGAGAATGCATAGCGAACGCCCGGCAAGTATGGAAGGGAATGGGGACTTGGAATCCGTCACTCGTGCCCTCGTCCGTCGTTCCCGCTGTTCTCTGGCGTAGCACCTTTGGTATGTATGCCGATGCTCCTGTTCCATCTCCCCTCTTTCTCGTCCCCCTCGTCGCCCCCTTCTCAACCTTCCAGTCCTATTCAAACGTGTTCTCCCTTCGTCAGTTGTAGGTATGATGCAAGGTGCGAAGTGGGAGTTATGGTGTTTTTCGTCGTTCTTTGTTGTGTCGCTCAGCCCCTTCCTACAATATGAGGAAGAGGAAGTGTCACGGTAATCAACGTGACAGGGGCTGACGACGTTGTTGTCCATCGATGCATTTTTATTGCGTCAGAGAGTTATTGGGAGCGGCAACGCGTTCGGTTTCCGATGACGCTGAAGTGTTCTCACGTTGCTGTTGGGTTGTTTTGATTATGGTTTCTGGGTCCAGATGAGCCAGATGTGCCTGCAGACTCTAGCCCTTCCGGCTACGGATCGCGCAGCACAATTGGAATGCACATTTGCCTACAGATCATACGTCTGCAGATCCGCATTCATGCGTTGCATGCTGTTTTTGTGTTCGATCATGTACCCCTTGCCAATTGCTACTACCCAGCTTGCCCTCCGGAGAAGACCGCTAAAAAACCACCAGAAGACAGCCGACGACCGCCGAAGATCGCCTAGGGCTTGTTGGTAACAGGGGGGCATCGTCGAAAGCGTAAGTGTTGTGGGTGTGATGTTAGTGCGCGTGCGAAGGAACTTGTATTGTTGTCTCTCGAGTGACAGCGCGCCAGGTCTTGCAGAGGGTCGTGGAAGGCACGGACAAGAGGAGGCGAGAGGAGGCGAAGCGACAGGATGCGGCCACCATTCCGTGTAAGTGTGGTTCTCTTCCTTTCGTCGTCCTTCCCCCCTTCTGCTCTCCGAGTGGAGTTGGATGGAGGAGGGGGGAGCCGAATCTTGACGAACGAACAACACACACATCCATACCCAGAGGGAGGTCGTTGGGAGGAGGACTGGCTATGGGTATGGGTGCGGGTTGTCGGACCCTGGGGAACGCTCCCGTTCGAGCGGGGACCCCCATCCGACAACACGCACCCATAGCCCTCTCCGATCCCCCTATGGGTATGGGTGTGTGTTGTTGGTTCGTCAAATCTTGATGGTCAAGGATTCGATTTTTCGGACACTTCTGGCATCTTCTTGTGCCTCTGGAGGCCCTCGGGCTGTCTGCAGGCGTCGGGGCCGCCTGCAAACAGTACAGCGCTCTGGCGTCTCTGCAGCCTCCGTGCGGAGGCGAGCTGGTCGGTCTGGTCCTGCAGCCGGCCGATGTCTGAACGATATTCGTTTCGATACTCGTCCTCCTCCTCCTCCTCCTCCTCCTCCTTCCTCCTCTCTCCTCTCTCCTCCTCCTCCTCCTCCTCCTCCTCCTCCTCCTCCTCCTCCTCCTCCTCCTCCTCCTCCTCCCTTTGCGATTTTGCGATTTCAATGCGGTCGGGCTGGTCGAGTCTCATGTCGATCGACTCGGCAGCGCAAACAGATGGGCTCAGAAACGGGGGGGGAGGCGAACAGCCTTGCCTTCATCGGGAGCAGGGGGCAGCCTGAGAAGCCTTGCTGTGGTGAGCCTGGGAGCTGGCGAGCCGTGACTCCGTGTTCTGGTGAAGCGTCCCGCGGTGGCATGCGATCGTGCGCACCGCTGCTGCAGAGACGGTGGCGGCTAAGTGGGGCAAGCCGGCCAGGTGTCCGCCTTCCGATGCCGCCTGCGAGGGCCGCGAGCAAGGGCGTGCTGCAGAAGGACGCTCGGCCCGCCACCTGCGCCGAGGAGGCCATCTCGGCCACCCCGGCCCTGCTGCCGGCGCCGCTCCTGGTGGCCCAGCTGACAGCGCCGCCCCAGCCTCGCCGGAGGGGCTGGGCCAGGCTGCAGGGCCCGCTGCTTACAGCCAAGAACCCTGATAAGGACGCGCGACTCTACTCAGGGCACCCTTGCGTCCCTGCTCTTCCTTGCTCTTGCGTCCTTGCTCTTTCGTCGTCCGCCGCCCCAAAAATCCCAACTTCGGCTTCCAAGGGTCTGTTGCGTCCTTACACCTTAGGCGATGCTCAAGAAAACGTAAGTTTTCGGCCAGAGTCTCGATTATTCTTAACGTTTCAATGTAACTCCTAAGATTTTAATAGAAATGTTATGTTTTTTAAATTCAAGTTCTGAGACTATGAATCTCTGAACCCATGATTTCTTTAGCATTTCGCAGGGTGTACCGCGCGTCCCTCCCAGGGTTTCTGACTGCACGGCCCTTGGCGGCCCAGGGGGCCGCGCCTGCACGGGCCCCGCGGCCCGAGCGGCCTCCGCGTGTACAGCGGGCCGGCGGACGGGGCGCTGGCAGCGCCGCGGCGCCGGGCCGCCCTCAAGAGGTCCCAGCGGTCAGCCCCGCAGGAGGAGGAGGAGGAGGAGGAGGAGGAGGAGGAGGAGGAGGAGGAGGGCCCCCCCCCAGGAGAGGAACCTGGAGTGCGTGCCTCCGCCCGCGCGCGGCGCCCTCTGCCGCAGCCGCGGCGCCCGCCCCCCCGGGGGGGGAGGCCCCGGCGGGTGCGCGCCTCGGCTGGTGCGCGGCGGCCGCCTGCGGCCGCAGACAGCGGCATGCGCAGGCGTGCGTCGCGCAGTGGCGAAGCGTCCCGGCTCGCCTGTATCGGGGGAGGACAGAACCCCCAACAGTGACACGTCGATTCGTGGATTGTCCGCTTTCGGTTCTCGAGAGGGCGCCGCGGCCGTCACTTTCCAGGCTTGCGCCCGCCAGGTTTGGGCCTCAGGTCGTTTTCACTAAACCACGCTGTGCTAAAGGGGGGTCTGTCCATCCCCGAGCAGAGGTCGCCACGGCTCCCCGTTGCGTCCACGAAAAGCTCTGCAGCCCTGCGTGCCGACGCGCGTGCCATCTCGATCGGGTATAGCCAGGACCCCCGGTAAGGGGACCCGGTTAGTGGTAGGGCCCTGGGGCCCCTCAACTGGCCAGATTCGCTACACCAGGTTTGCCGTAACTGGTGTCTTTCGGGTGACGGCAGCTCCGGTTGGTGGACATGGGACGGGGGGGCGCCCCCGGTACAAAGCACTAAACCAGGTTCCACTATATCAACCCAGTTCTACCAACGCCCGACAGAGGTCCCAGCGGTCAGCCTCGCAGGGGCGCCTATGGAGGTCGCCACGGATCCCCGTTTCGTCCACAACAGCATTGCAGCCTTGCGTGCCGACGCGCGTGCTATCTCGATCGGTGCAAAGTTAGATTTGTTGGGGGGAGGGAGGCAGTGCGGTCTCCTCACGGCGCGCTGGATCAGGGGCCGCCCGACTGCCGGGAAAGCGCTTGCCCGCGGCATGCCCGGGGACGGCAGGCCTCGCAGCGCGGCCGCCTTCGGGTTGGCCGTTGCCTGCGGCGACCAGTGCCCGGCCGCCGCCCGCCTCCTGGGCGGAGCGCGAGCTCCAGCTGGCCGCCGCGGCCGCGGCACAGCGCGCTCGGTGAGGTCGGCGGCCCCGCGGGCCAGCCGCGAGGGCCGCGGGCGCCCCGCGCCGCCGCCGCCGCTGGACGGCCACGCGCGGCGCCCGCGCCGCCAGAGGCCCGCGCCTGCCCCCGCGGCGCCTGCGCCCACTGCCGCCGCGGCGGCGGCCGCAGCCGAGCCGCGCTGGCGGCTCGGCCGCGGGCGTCGCGCCCGCCGTGCCCGCCGAGGCGGCGTGTGCGCCCTCCTTCGCGGGGGTCTTCGCGGCGGCGGGCGCGCGCAGCGGCGCGGGGGCCCTCTGCCGGGGTGCCTGCCGCGCCCGCGGCGCGCGGGGCCCTCTCGGTGGCGCGGCGGGCGCATGCGTTCGGCGGCGGCGTGTGCGGGTCCGGGCGTGGCGCCCGCGAGGTCCCCGCGTTTGCCAGTCTGAAACGTATGCCTATCCCTATGTTTGATATCATCTTCATTACCTCGATGCCGATCTTGAGGATTCCCTCCGTTCCTGAGGGCCTGTCCCTAAGATCGTCCTCGCTTTTTGCTCGCCCATCTTAGGGATAATTAGGGATACGCTCGAGGATGGTTATGCGTGCAGCCATGCTGCGGTTGACGCCAGCAGTGCGCGGTGGCGGCGGCGAGGCGGCTTGGCGCGCCGCACGGTGCGCGCGCCTGCAGGCCCCGGGCCGCCAGACTGCATTCGGCGAGCGCTTCCCCGCACCGCTTCCCATCCCGCCTCAGCCGCGGGCCGGCTTTCCTCGCGCGGCAGAAGTGTGCGGGGACGGCGCAGGCGCCCCAAGGGCCAGGTTGAGGGAGTCGGGGGAAACAGGGGTGATAATGAGAAGAAAGGACCAGACGGATGAGGAGAAGGATTGGTTGTTCTTGCTTTTGCTGCTCATCCTATCTCCTTTTGCTGTTCCTTCCTCCTGTTTCTCCATGTTGCTCCTCATGCTGGTCCTACGTATGACTGCTCCTCCTGCTGCTGAAGCTGCTCGTCATTTCTGCTCTCGCTGCTCCTCCATGTTGCTTCTCCATGCTGACTTTCCTGCTGGTCCTAGAGCTCTGCTGCTGCTCATGCTGCTTCTCTGACTGTTCCTACTGCTGCTCGGCCTCTCGATGGTTCCCCTCCTGATGCTCTTGCTCCTCCTGTGCTCATCCTGTTCTGGCTGTTCCTCATGCTCCTCTGCCTCCCAGTCACTCGCGATCCTGCTCCTGCTACTCCTGCGGTGCTCGCACTCTGGTGCTCCTTCTGCTGCTCCTTTTGCTGCTCCTCCTGCCTGCTGCTCCGGTGCTCCCTCTTCCTGCACCTCCTCCTACTCCACCTCCTCCCCCTGCACCACCTCCTCCTCCTCCTCCTCCTCCTGCTCCTCCTGCCTGCTGCTCAGGTGCTCCCTCTCCCTGCTCCTGCTGCTCGTCCTGCTGCATCTCCTGCTGCTGCTGCTGCTCCTGCTGCTGCGTCCTGCGGCTCCTGCTGCTCCTGCCGCTGCTCCCCGGGGATGCTCCTGCTGCCCCTCTGCTGGCCCTCCGCCTGCTCCTCTGGTGCTCGCTGCTCATCCTCTCCTCCTGCTCCTCCTCCTCCTGCTCCTGACTCCTCCTGACTCCTCCTGACTCCTGGCTCCTGATGGCTGGAAAGGACGTCGTTCGTAGCCCTCCCTCCTCCTCCACCTCCTCCTCCTCCTCCTACTCCACCTCCCCACGCACCACCTCCTCCTCCTCCTCCTCCTCCTCCTCCTCCTCCTCCTCCTCCTCGAGTGTTTCTGCTGATGCTCCGGTGCTCCTCCCTGCTCTTCCCGCTGCTCCTCCTGCTGTTCCTTCTGTTGCGTCGGCGCCCCCCCCCCAGCCCCGGCGTTCTCCCCCTGGTGCCTATGTTCCTGTTACCTCCCCCCCTGTCTAGGCCTCCTAGATGGGGTCGGAGTAGATGGGGTCGGAGGATCGCGCCGCATCTCCGATGCGTCGCCGATGCGGCTCGATGCGGAGCCCGCTTTTCTTCACGCGGACGTCGCCGATGAACCGCTGACGTCGACGGTGCATCGCTGGTGCATCGCCGATGCATCGCCGATGCATCACCGATGCATCGTCGATGTATCAGCGATGCGGCGCGATCCTCCGACCCTATCTACTCCGACCCCATCTAGGAGGCCTCTACCCTGGCACCCCCCGCTGGGAGACGTGTTATCCCGAAGGCAAAAACAAGCAGTCTCTAAGCACCCGGGGTCAGAGAAGCCATGGGCCACTGGTCGGGCCGTCAGGGGAGCAGAGCCGCGGACCCCATGATCTGGCCGCGGGTTCGCGTTTCCTTTCTGCTCGTCCTGTTCATTTACCCTTCCCTGCTCCCCTTCGGGGCTCCCTCCTCGTCCTCTTCCCTCTTCTTTTGGGCCACGTTCCACCTGATCCCTCTCGTTTTCCTTCTGCTGCTCCTGCTGATGCTCGTCGCGTGCTTTCTCGTTCGCCATTCCCCTCTCCCTCCTGCGTGCGTCACCTGCGTCCTCCTATCAATGTTTCCGACAGGGTTCGCATACCAACCACATCACAAATCTGATGCCCACCACCTCCTGAGGGCGGGCTTGGTATACAATCTGTACACCACGCGTGCCTGCCTTCAGGAGGCTGACATTGCCGTCAGTGGTGATGGGGTCGATGGAAGCATTGTTGTGTGTGTTGCGAGTGCACGGCGTTGCGAAACAGTGCGCGGATCTGTGGGGTGCCCTGTGAAATTGTATGGTGCGTTCTGAGAGGCAACGCCACAGCAGATGCGACCGCCAGCATGCCAGCGTGGTCCATCACCACCATAGAACGTCCTCCCCCATCGAAGAAGGGACACCATGAATCTGCTCCGCCCCAGGCACATCGCAAGGAGTGGACGACCGCAAATGTATCGTTCAAATCTGAAAGGAGACGCACAGTTTTCGAAGCGCCTGCCGCAGGACAGCGGCTCAATGTCTTCTCATCTTCACAAACCTCCAACCCCATCTCGTCAATGTGCAACGCTTGAGCCCACAACCTTGCCGACAGTCGAGCGTGATTGCCGACTGTTGGCTCTCTCCAGGGATTAACAAAGGGAGGTGATGCCAACGGCACGATGATGGAAGTCTATGTAGGCAAACCGATGAGAACATAGGCGACGGGTGTGTGTGTGTGAATATTTCCTTGGCTTGAACTCGTGCAGCGGTGTTTTGTCCAACACTTGGTGACAAGCTGGTCTGCATCCCTCCCCGTGCTGCACTCCCCTCCTCCCCCTTGAACGACCAACGATGGCGACGGCGACGGCGCCGCGACTGGCATTGATGTCTCTCTACGACGACGACGACAAAGGCAGCGACGGCGACTTCGACTGGGTCGCCACTGGCGACGATGTCGATCGGCGACGGCGACGAAAGACGCTGGCGGTTGCGACGACGACGACGACGACGACGACGACGACGACGACGACGACGACGACCACGGCGCACGACACGACGACGGCTCCCTCCCCCTGCTCGCGTGGCGCAGCTGCTGCACTGCCCCCTCGGCTCCTCCCTTCGGCACTTCTTGGCCCCGAGAGGCCCGAGCGCCTCTCGCTCCTCCTGGACACCCCCGACGACCCCCCCATGGGGCGGGCTCCTCGTGACCACGTCCCCACGGTACTCCAGATTTCGTAATAAAGGGATGGGGGTCTCATTTCGGGGGAGGGTCTCTTCCAGGCTATCTTGGAGGGCCTGGGGGGGTCTGGGGACGATGTTTCGGAGGGCTCTCCCACGGGGGGGGTCTGAGATGGCTTGTCTTGGAGGGTCCAGGCCCCCTCCCTTTTATTATTTCGAAATCTGGAGTACCTCTCCCTTGGACACCCTCTCTCTCCCCTTTCCTTGGCTCCTCCCCTTCCCGCCCCTCCCCTCCCTTTTATTATTACGAAATATGGAGTGTGGTCGCGCCGCGCTGCTGCCGCGGCGCCGGCCCCGGCGCGGGCGTGCGGGGCGGAACGCCGCCGGTGGCCCGGAGCCGGCCGACGTGGAAGGCCTGCAAGGTATCGGGACGCCGCGATCGTCCAGGATTCTGTCGGGCCTGTCCCCCTTACAGGGGGATTTTCGACGAAAATAAAAAGTACCCCAAAATAGTCAAAAAATAGTCGAAGGCCTGCAAGGTATCGGGACGCCTCGATCCTCCAGGATTAGGTCGGGCCTGCCCCCCTTACAGGGGGACTTTCGACGAAAAATAAGAAATACCCCCAAAAATAATCAAAAAAATAGCCCAGGGACTATTTTAAAGTATTGTTCTACCTTTTTGGGGCATTTCTGGGGTATTTTTGTTTGTTTCGTCGAAAATCCCGCTGTAGGGGGACACGCCCGACACAAGTCCAGGACTGGAAGCTGAGCGAGATCCACGCGGTTGAGCACGAACGGAATGGGTGCGGAGAGAATGGGTGCAGTGCCCAGCAGCAGTTCCTGTTCATTTTGAACAGGGCTCGCTGTCCGCGCCGCCGCGGCCTGTGTCCCCTCGAGACAGAAGGCCGCCTGCCCAACATCGGCCGCTGCTGGTTTGGGACAACATGTGCTGTTGGGCATTGTACCCATTTTTGTCGTACCCATGTCGGGCGTCCAAAGTGGTGTCAGAAACCAACGTCGACGTCATCGCCTTGCGAATCTGCAGTGCAGTCAACCCGCATAGTAAGGATGCGCGACTTTCCTGGGTTACCCTTGCATCCTTCCCCTTCGGCCGATCTTTGGCCGCCTTCGCTGGCCGCGCACCGCTCGCAGAGCGTTGGCGTGGCCCTCCAAGACCTTCGCATTCTTATCGCGCGCGCTTCTTTCCCGTGTTGACTGTGCACGGAGAGGATGAGAAGGAGAAGGAGGTGCAGGAGGAACAGGAGGAGGAGGAGCAGGAGCAGGAGCAGGAGCAGGAGCAGGAGCAGGAGCAGGAGCAGGAGCAGGAGCAGGAGCAGGAGGAGACGGAGGAGGAGGAGTAGGAGTAGGAGGAGGAGGAGGAGAAGGAGGAGGAGGAGGAGGAGGAGGAGGAGGAGGAGGAGGAGGAGGAGAGGAGCAGGAGCAGGAGGAGGAGGAGGAGGAGCAGGAGGAGGAGGAGGAGCAGGAGGAGGAGGAGGAGGAGCAGGAGGACGAGGAGCAGGAGGAGGAGGAGGAGGAGGGCCCCCCCCCAGGAGAGGAACCTGGAGTGCGTGCCTCCGCCCGCGCGCGGCGCTCTGCCGCAGCCGCGGCGCCCGCCCCCCTGGGGGGGGAGGCCCCGGCGGGTGCGCGCCTCGGCTGGTGCGCGGCGGCCGCCTGCGGCCGCAGACAGCGGCCTGCGCAGGCGTGCGTCGCGCAGTGGCGAAGCGTCCCGGCTCGCCTATATCGGGGGTGGACAGAACCCCCAACAGTGACACGTCGATTAGTGAATTGTCCGTTTTCGGTTCTCGAGAGGGCGCCGTGGCCGTTATTTTCCAGGCTTGCGCCCGCCAGGTTTGGGCCCCAGGTCGTTTTCACTCAACCACGTTTTACTTAATGGGGGTCTGTCCATCCCCGACTATAGCCCCACCAAAGAATGTTCTAAGAACCTCTTGTGGTCTGCACGGAATGTTCTTAGAACACATTTCTGGCCGGGGTTGTCTTCTTTTCACACATCGGGTTCATGCTTTAAGAACATGGTTTTGGTAATAGAACATTTTTGGGTTCTAGGAACATTCCGTGGTAGGACCATGGGAATGCCGGGACGGTCGGTCCCTGCTCAAGTGCGAGCATCAAGTCGGGCGCATCCCCCCACATGAGGAAGGTTCAAAGCAGTAGAATCATCGTCTGGGAGCGTTTTTTGTCTGTTCATTCATGGCTATCTCTTTTGTTTCCTCGGAAATCCGCTCCTGGGAGGACATGCCCGACCGAAGGCGAGCAGGGGGGGCTGGGCAGAGGGTGCAGTCCACCCTCGACCAGGCGTAAGAGTGACCTTTCGCCGAAGCGACCTCCGGGTGCGGGCCCAGAGGGGCCCCCCGACCGCGGATCGCGAGGCGGGAGTTCAGCGGCTTGCGCGCCTGGGTTTGGCCACCCCGCGTTCCCCATGAAGTCGCGCACAAGAGGTCACTCTTACCCAGGGTCACCCTCAGGAGGGGAAGAAACACACAGACAAAATTATTCGTCGATTCCCATGAAATTATGGGGAACATTGGGAAGTGGGGGGAAGACAAAAACCGAGAAAATATGGGAAAATATAGGGAATCATTTTATTTGTGTGTATTTATGTGTGTGTGTGTGTGTGTGTGTGTGTGTGTGTGTGTGTGTGTGTGTGTGTGTGTGTGTGTGTGTGTGTGTGTGTGTGTGTGTGTTCTGGGGCCCCTTCAACGCTGGCGTGTAGTCGAAACCTGCGGTATCGACCAAGAACGTATGACACCACCCCGCCTGTGGCCCTCCATGTTGCGCTACGGCCCGCTGGAAGCCGTAGCGTGCACCACGCAACAACGCGATCCACAATTCATGGGGTATGTTACGGCCCCGGTGGGCCGTAGGTGGGATGGTGTCGTTTGTTTTCTGGTCTGTAGTAGGGACTCGCGCCTTTCCATGGCTATCCCCGCATCGTTCCCCTTCGGCCCATCCTTGGTCGCTTTCGCTGGCCGCGCCCGTCTTGCAGAGTGTCGACATGGCCCTCCAAGGCCCTCGCATCCTGATTGCGCGTCTTTGTTTTCCAGGTTGACTGTTCAGCAGGGGTGGTGGGAGGGGGGAACATGTGGGCAGGATGGGGGAGGTGGAGGGTTTCTGAAGGGTCAGGAGGATACCGTCATCGTGCTACCCTGAGGAGATCAGAGTCGGGAACGAAGGATCTTTTCTGGCCACGTCGAGCCTTGGCCACGAACATGTGCGCCCGACGAGTATTTGGGGACCGACCCGCACACCAGACAGGTTCTGAACCCAGGGCGGTATTTTTTTTCAGCCCGACCCTATCTGTTTCGGCCCCAAGTGAGGAGCATGCGAGGAGTGGGATGTGAGGAGAAGGCGTGATAAGTATGCTGAACTAAGAGGTGGATGAGGAGATCGAGGAGGAGGAGGATCGACATGTAAGAAGGTTCTGTCCACTCACCTCACCGGAAGGACCAGCAGGCCTCAACCTCGCCCCGTCGGCGCCTGTACACTTCGCCGTGTGCCGACTCGCCCTTTGCGCGCGGTGGTTGCCTCCGACAGCCGTCGATCTGCGGCTGTCCGCGGGGACGGCTCCCGCCCGGGGCATGCCGTGGAGCGCAGTGTGAGCTGCCCATAGGGTTGCAAGCTGCTGCGCGGTGAGCAGTGTTATTGGATGAGCGTCCTCGCGCGGGACACTGGTGTGGAGGTCAAGCAGTTCATCGCGGCGCGCCAGCTGGTGTTCGAGGGCCAGCTTCAGCGCAAGAAGGAGGGGACGAGGGCCACAGCTGAGACGGGTGGGAGGGAGATCACCAATACGGAGGAGGAAGATGTTTGGGAGTGCGGGTCAGACATTAGTGGGAGATTGGAGGAAGGGGCGGGAACGGGGGAGGGAGAATGGGTGGAGGGCTGGCGGAGAGGAGCGAGATCGGGGTTGGCAAGGGGTTGTACGTCTTGGAGGAGGAGAAAGAGAGAGAAAGAGAGAGATAGAAAAGAAACCCAAAAACACGAGAGGAAGAAATGAGGTCGGAGTTAGTCACCTGTCGCTCTGTTCAATTTCTCTCCCTCGTTCTGTTGTATCACTCCCTACGTGTACCCAGCTGCCTGCGGCAATGCCCGCCAGCGTGCCAGCCCGGCATTCTGGGTGGCGGCTGTTCGATGTGGCACGGGAGGCCGTCATTTGTGACACCTCGTCCAAGTTTGTGAGAGCCAGGATGAGGGGATGATGATGCTGATGATGCTGACGATGCTGATGATGATGATGATGATGATGATGATCATCATGATCATGATGATGATGCTCATCACTATGATGCTGATGGTGATGGTGCATGTGATGGTGATAGTGATGGTGATGGTGATGCTGGTGGTGGTGATGGTGATTTTGATGGTGGTGGTGTTAGGGGGTGGTTGTGGTGAGGTGGATGTTCATGCTGCTGATGCTGCTGATGATGAAGAGGGTAGTGGTGGTGATGATGATGGTGATGATGATGACGATGATGATGATGATGCTGATGATGATGATGATGATGATGATGATGATGACGATGATGATGATGATGATGATGATGACGATGATGATGAAGCTGCTGCTGGTGATGAGTAGTCATATTTTTGTTTTTATTCTTCGCAGTATTACTATTACACTCGTGTGTGTCGTCTTGGGGCTGCCTTGGCCTCCTGTGAGGCAGTCTTGGGGATCCCTTGGGGCCCTCTTGGGCCGTCTTGCTGCCCTCTCATGCCGGCTTGGGGCTCTCTTCGGCATTCTTGGGGCCTTCTTGGTCGCATGGTCGGTGCCTCGGGGTCGTCGTGGGGCCGTCCTGGCGTCGTCTAGGGCCGTCGAAGGGCCGTTTAAGGCCGTTTTGGGTCCCACGGCAGGCCTTCTTGAGCCGCCTTGGGGCCGTTTTGGATGCCTTTTGGGCCATCGTGGAGTCTTGTCCATGTTGGCCTTCTTGAGCTGACGGCAGCCCGAAAACAGAAGGCGACCAACATTCATAAACCAAGGGGGAGTCAGTGATTCTTGCTTCATCTGACCCTGCTGGAGTTCCCCTCGTGCCTTGTGGCCATTTTGGGCCCTCTTGGAGGCATCTTGGGCCGTCTTGAATCAATATTCGGCCGCATCTTGGCCGTCTTCGAGGCATCTTGAGCTATCTGGGTGTCCTTGGTTGCCTGCACGGGCTGTCTTGCAAGCGCGGAACGCATACCCGTTGTTTTAAACAAGGTGCCGTGGCTTGGGAGGCCCTGCAACGCTTGGGAGCAGCGCCTGAGAATGCGGGACGTACCCGCTCCTCGAGCGGGTGCGCGTGAGATGTGGGGTCCAGGTGTTCGCAGGCATGCGGGAAGTGTACCATCCTCGAGCGGGCGCGCATGTAATGAGGGTTCATGCATTTGCCGCCATGCGGGAAGTGCACCATCCTCGAGGGGGCACGCGTTGAATGAGGATTCAGGCATTAGGTGCCGTACGGGAAGTGCAAGATTTCCGAGCGAGCTTGCGAGGACTGGGGGTTTAGGCGTCAGCTGCCATGCTGGAAGCGCACCATCATAGATTGGGCACGAGGGAAGTGGCCTCGGAAGGGAGGGGCGATAGACGCAGGAGTCCGCTGGTAGAAGGATGGACAGCCTCTCAATAGAATTCAAAAAACCTATCAGGCATACCGTGGTATTGTTCCACGCCTGAACGTGCCAGGGGACACGGACGCGAACATACACACACAACCACACACACACACACGCACACACACACACACACGCACGCACGCACGCACGCACACACACAGAAACACACACAAGCACAAGCCTATACATATATATATATAGAGCTGCTAATGCAACCATGCATATGTGTAGATGTATCTGTACATACGTTGTATATACACATATGTATGTATGCGTCTATGCAGCTCTGTAGTTTTATTTATTTATTTATTTATTTATTTACATATATATATATATATATATACACATATATGCATGAATCTATACATCATCTTTACACACATATGTACACGCATTTGATGGCCTTCGGCCCATCTCGCCACCATGCCTTGGTTGTTTGTGTGGAACATATCGGATGCTCGTTGAGATCGCGTGGGAGGCCTCCCATGGGCATCTTGGAGGCAGCTTGGACACCTCTTGAGGGCCGTTTTGGGGCTTCTTGGGGCCTGTTTGGGGCCTCTTGGGGGCCTCTTGAGGACCTCTTGGCCCCTCCTGGGCGTCTCTTGGGGGCCTCCTTGGGGCCTCTTGGGGCGGAAGGCTCAGATTTTCGGTTTGTGTTTCCTCTCTTGGGTCCTTTCTGGGGCCATCTTGGCGCCCTCTTGGGCCGTCTTGGGCGCGTCTTGGGCCGTCTTGGGGCCCTCTTGGGCCGTTTGGGGGCCCTCATGAGGGCCTCTTGGACCGTCTTGGGGCTTGGGGGCGTCGGGAAGCCGAAAAGGCGAGGAGGCCAACGTCTTTCAAAAACCTAAGGGCAATCAATTTTTTTTTCTTCTCGGGGCACTCTTGGACAGTTTTTTGGAGGTCTCTTGGGCCGTCTTGGTGGCCTCCTGGGCCGTTTGGGGGCCATCCTCGACGTCGTAGAACGAGCATTAGGCGTCTCGGGGCGATCACGGGCCGTCTTGTGGGCCTCTTGGGGCTCTCTTGGCCCGTCCAAAGGGGCCTCTTGGGCCCGAAGAGATGCTGGGAACCCAGGGGTCACTCTGGGAGCCCCGCCCAGTTTTGGAATTTGGGGTCCGGGCCCCTTCAAAGACTCCTCAGGGCTGAGGATTGAGGCTCCAGGGATGAGGCCAAGGACCTGAGGATGCGTCCACTCCGTGCCCAGAGGCACGGTGGCGGATATGTATCTAAAACGTCTACGGCCAATCACCGCCGCCCCCTGCCCAGTTGGAAGCGCCTCTGTGGCCGACAGCTGGGCCAGAGCTTGTCCAAGCTATCGGGCCAGTTGTTCCCCGAGTCGGTTTCGAAAGACTTCTGGGAACGCGTGGGGGAGCAAGAAGAGGAGGAGGAGGAGGATGAGGAAAAAAGATGAGGAGGAGGAGGAGGAGGAGACGGAGGAGGAGGAGGCCTCTTGGGCGCCTCTTGCGGCACTCCTGGGGCCTCCTTGGAGCTTCCTGGGGGTCTCTTGGAGGGCTTTGGGGGGCCTTTGGGGGCTTCTTGGGGGCCTCTTTGGCCGTCTTAGGGCGCTCCTGGCTTGTCTGACGCCGTCGGAAGCCGTCTTGGGGGCCTGTGTTGGCCGTCTTGGGGCCCTCTTGGGGCATATCAGGGGTTCTTAAGGGCCATCTTGGGCGTCTTGGAGGCTTCTTGGGTGGTTTTGGGGCCCTCTTGGGGCCGTCTGACGGGCCTTTTGGGCCGTCATGGGGCCGTCTTTGAGGCTTCTTGAGCGATCTTGGGGGCCTCTTGCGCCGTCTTGAGCCGTCGGAACGCCGAGGAAAAGCAAATGCCAAAATCTGTCTCAAACCTAAGGGAACATTTGTTTTGGCCACTTGGAGGGCTCTTGGGGGCCTCTCGGGCCGTCTTAGGCCATCTGAAGGCCATTTCAGGCCGTCTTGTGTGAATCTTGGGCCGTCTTGGAGGCATCTTGGGGCCATCTTAGCCGTCTTGGAGGCCATCTTGGGCGTCTTGGAGGCCTGGGGTCGTCAAGGGGGCCTCTTGGGCCGTCATGGGGCCATCTTGGAGGCCTCGTGGGCGATCTTTGAGCGATCTTGGGGGCCTCTTGGGCCGTCGGAAGGCCGAAACGAAGCAAATGCCCAAATCCTTCAAAACACAAAGAACATCAATAATTTTGGCCTCTTCGGGCCCTCCTTGAGGACCTCCTGGAGGCCTCTTGGGTCGTCTTGGGCCGTCTTGGAGGCTTCTTGGGCGAACTTGGAGGTATCTTGGACTCTCTTGGGCCGTCTTGGAGTCCGTCTTGGATCCTCTTGGGCGGACTTGGAGGCCATCTTGGACCTTCTTGGAGGCCATCCTGGGCCAACGTGACCATTTGGAGGCCATCTTGAGCCGTCTTGGAGGAAACGTTGGGGATTGAGCTCCCTTCCTGGACCCCGGCGGGACGGGCCGAAGCCCCAGGGGGACTTCGCACGCCAGGCACCCCTGCGATGAATCGACAGGGGAAGGCAGATCGAATGGGCTTCGGCCCATCCGGCCACCGTGCCTGGATTGTGGGTCGGAGTCTTCAGGGATGCTGGGGTCTCTTCGGAGCGCTCTTCGGAGCCTCCGGGTGGCAGTTTTGGGGCTTCTTGGGGGCCTCTAGCGAGCCTCTTGGGGTCGTCTTGGGGGCCTCTTGGGGCTTCCTGGAGGCATCTTCGGGGCTTCTTTGGGCTGATTGCGGTCTTCTGGGGGGCCTCCTGGGGGGCTCTCGGGGCCGAGGGCTCGAAATGTCTGTTCGGATCCCTCGTTTGGGCCCCCTCTCGGAGCCGTCTTGGGGACTTTGTGGGCCGTCTTGGAGGCCTCTTGGGCCGCCTTTGGAACCGCTTGGGCAGTTTGGAGGCCCTTTTTGCGGACTCTTCGGCTGTCTTGGGGCTATATTTGGGGCCTCTTCGGCCGTCTTGGAGCATCGTGAAGCCGAAAAGGCGAGAACGCCCAAATCATGTCAAAAGCATCATTGAACTCAATGATGTTTGCCTCTTGCGGCCCTCTTGGGAGTGCTCTTGGAGGCCTTTTGGGGCGTCTTCGAGACCTCATGGGCCGTCTGGAGGCCATCGTTGGCGTCTTGGAGCGATCTTTCAGCGATTCTGGGCCCTCCTGGATCGTCTGGGCGGCCTCCTGGGGCTGTCTTCGCTCGTTTCGGGG